GACCCTGCGTCTGACCTCAGTGGCCAGTTCTGCAACCTGGGTCACCTAGTGACTGTGCATCTGACCCCAGAGGCCAGCTCTGCACACCTGGGTCACCTAGTGACCCTGCGTCTGACCTCAGTGGCCAGCTCTGCAACCTGGGTCACCTAGTGACTGTTGCGTCTGACCTCAGTGGCCAGCTCTGCAAACCTAGGTCACTTAGAGACTGATGTGTCTGACCCCAGCAGCCAGCTCTGCACACCTGGGTCACCTAGAGACTGTTGTGTCTGACCTCAGTGGCGAGCTCAGCCCACATAGGTCACCTAGAGACTGTTGTATCTGACCCCAGTGGCCAGCTCTGCACACCTAGGTCACCGAGTGACACTGTGTCTGACCCCAGAGGCCAGCTCTGCACACCTGGGTGACCTAGTGACCATGCGTCTGTGTGAAGAGCTTTTGAGGGGTGGGCTTCGGGGGCACATTGGAGCCAGTGCCTGCATATGACCTTGCTTTTTGTTCAGGACAAATAGTTGACCCCTCATCCCTTGTTTGAGTGTTCTGGTTGATGCATTGAAATGCCTTTCCTCATTTGCCTCCATTTTAATAGTCCCTTGGTTGCCCCCAACAACACGCCACAGGAGAGTGATTGAGACAGCAGAGATTCACCCTCCTGCAGTTCCAGAGACTAAGCCCTGAAGGCACAGTGACAGCAGGGACAGGCTTCTCTGAGCTCTGGGGGAGAGCCCTTCCTTGCCTCTTGGAGCGTCTCCTGGCTCCCGACAAACCCTGGCCCTTGGCCTGTGGCTGCTCCCTTAGGCTCTGCCCAGGTCATGCCTCCTACCATGGGTCGGGGCTTCCTTCCACGTCCTCCTATAGAGACACTGACCATCGTAGTTATGGCTCTGACCCCATATGACTTCCTCTTTACCCACTGCATCTGCAAGGACCCTTCTTCCAAATAAGGTCACACTCTGAGGTCCTGGGTGGACCTGAATGTGGGGCAGCTGCCGTTCACCCACCCTGTTCACCCACTTGCCGCTTGGTCATATTTTCTTCTGTCGTCTGTGTAGTTAACCAGGAATCTGTGACGTTGGAGCTCTAGGATCTGATCTTATGAACCAGCTCCAGGTGCACCGAGAACCTGTAACCCATGGAGTCTCCTCTGAATCTGTGACCTGTTCCTGAGAACTTCCTTTCTGTAAATGTTGACAGACTCGTAAGACATTCACAGCGTCACGTTATTCGTACTTACTGCACGAGCCTGTCCTCTGTGGCCCCTCTTCTCTACCAATTTCCTTGCTTTTCATCATTTTCTTTCTACCTTAAAACTTCTTCACGTATTTTCTCCAGCTTTGATGCTGCCATCGGCCTATGCTCTGGGCGTCCACCACCTGGGGCTGTCCTCATCTGTGCAGACCTTGTCAGCAGGTGTAGACCTCCAGCTGGTGGCCGACTTCAGGTGACAGAGGCACAGTTCCAGTGTCTCCTGGACTCCATCATGCCCACCAGAAGTCATCTGTCAGTCTCCTTGTTACTTCTGTGAAGTTACTTAGTCTCTCCTTCTCCCTGACCTCTTAAATTTTTCTGTCTTGAAGTTTCAGCACCAGCAGGGCCAGGGGTGGTTGTATGTGCCCTGCCCTGCTTAGGATTCTCAGTGTGTTTTTAATCTGTGGGTTAATAGCTTTCATCAATTAAAGTTCTGACATACTTCACTACCTCGACTCACTCATCTCTCCTTGTAGGATAAACCTACTTTTTCTAATGAGTCCTGCATGTTCGTTTCTCTATTTTTATCTTTTTTCTGTGGCTCCATTTTGATTTCTTCACCTCCCTTCATTCTCTAAACTCCTCTTTGACTTTGTCTAATAAGGTATTAAACTACCAATTTCTCAATGTAGTTATTATGTTCTTTATTCATAAACTCATGTTGGATTCTTTTATAGGATTCTGCCACTGAAATCCTCCATCTTTCCCCCATTGTCTTAAAAAAATTTGTCACAGTTACTTTAAGCTCGAGATTGACATTCAGATCTATGGAGCACTGTGCACCTGTATGGTCTTCATTTCTCCTCTTGGTCTGTTTGGTCTTTGTTTCTCCTCTTGTTCTGTTTGGTTTTCGTTTCTCCTCTTGGTCTGTTTGGTCTTTGTTTTTCCTCTTGGTCTGTGTGGTCTTTGTTTCTCCTCTTGCTCTGTTTGGTCTTTGTTTCTCCTCTTGCTCTGTTTGGTC